GATAGTCACTGACATCCAATGAGAGTTTTTCATAAAGTTCTCTGCACTGTTTTCCCTTCATGGCCCTAACACCATTTCCAGTGACAGCTTTCATTAGAGTGCAGTCAGTTTTGCTTTAATAGTTATTCTAAGCAGTGAACAGTGATGGTGAATATACCAGAGCTGACATGTTCCATCAATCTAGTATACTTGAAAAGGAATGGTTAAATTGATGCCCCAAAGTTTGATTTTTGCTTCAACACTTTTTGTTGGTTTAAGCAAACTGCTGGGTACAGATGTCTCAAAGTCCTTAGACAGCCTCTGGGAAATTCAGCATATCTTGTACAACAATGAGTTGGAGAGAAGAAAATAATACGCAGAGTCCAAACTGGTGCATCAGGCAATGCATTTAACAAAGTTGCTAAATTTTGTGCAAAATAAGGTTTAATTAGAAGGGGCAAAGCCCAGGAAAGATGATAATTGTGTGATTTGCAACAATTGCAATATGTATGTATTGCTGTCTTTAGGGAACAATGAATTATTCTAATAAATCCTACATCTATGATGGAGGAAGAAATCCTCTTTAACTATATTTAATAGTGTTAGTTTAGAGGAAAATGATATTAAAATGACTGAACATTTGGGAATAGAAACAAAAATACCCTACACTTAAAATCTTTTAGTCATTTGCTAAAAAGGTTATTCTTATCATAAAACACTCGGGAGTTTTACCTTTAGGATAAGAAGGGAGAAAAGCAATTGAAGCTGCATGGTAGTCAACTGTACTAGAGCAGTGACTTTTTATGCTGGGCTGAATGTTTCCCTTGGGTGTCATGTCTCAGGAGCTGCCATATGGGATTCAAGCTGGGGAGGATCTTGTCTGCTTTCCCCATTCCCACCTATCATCTACCATAACCAATCTGTGAAATTAACTCCAATTAAATTTGGTTTTGACAAAATATTTTTTTGAAAAGGGTTCTACAAAAAAAATGCAAACTAGTATTCTAATGTATAATGAAAGAAAAGCGGGAAAAATCACAGTAGATGGTTAACTTACTATTTGTAATTATTCAGGTATCATAAAGGTCAGAAATGAGGGACAATGCCAAGCAAACGTAAACCAGGATGTACATGGCAGGATGTACATATGTTTGAAAACTTTGACTCATGTTTCTTCAAATGCAAGTCAATCAAAATTCAGTAGCACAGTTTGAAGGATATTTGACGAAAGCAGGCATGTTGCACATGAGAGTATATATCTTGGAATCAGGCAAAATATTGGGCAACCAAGAAGGAATATTCTTGAATCAGTCATTCTTTGACACAGGAGCAATTCAAATGGTCTATCTATATATAGTTGATTATTAAGGCAAGAATTAATAACATCCTGAATGATGAAATTTTTAAATATTCTGAGGAACATCACAAAAAAAGGATCAAGTTATCTTTTTTTGAGATATTTAATAACTATGCCAACCGACAACATCGTTTCCTAAGAGAAAGACAATTTTAACACCAAAACTCTGGAAAGGTTGAAATCTCACATAAAACAAATAGTGGTAACATTCTGTCTTTTGCTGCCTGTGTTTGTGTGTGTCTCCTCAATCAGACTGATCCAAACTGTTCAGTGGTTCAATGGTGGAGATCCAAGTTGTTTGTAGTCTTTCATACTGATGAGGCAGTAGAAGATTTTCCAAAACATTTTGGCAAGGTAATTCACTCAGGCACAAAAGGATCATGACTTAGAAATGCAGATAACACTAACTGGTTTCATTTTGTATCACAGGAGGTGATGGCTAAAAATGGGCCCTAGAATTTATTGTCCACTCTTTAGATATATACAGGTTTCTGTGACTTGATCCACATACTTATATTTAGGTTATTTATGTAAAACACATAGTGACCTAGTCACAGAGCAGATGTCAGATCTCTTAACTAACTAACTAACTTTCTTCCTTCCTTCCTTCTTGCCTTCCCCCCTCCTCCTATCCCTTCTCTTTTTCTTTCCTATCCGGGATTGAACTCAGGGGCACTTGACCACTGAACCACATCACTAGTCCTATTTTGTATTTAATTTAGAAACAGGGTCTCATTGAGTTGCTTAACACTTTGCTTTTGCTGAGACTGGCTTTGAGTTTGCGATTCCCCTGCCTCAGTCTCCTAAGCCTCTAGGATTACAGGCATTTGCCACTGTGCCCAGCAAGAGCTCTTAACTTTCTGTTGAAGGCTCTGTGAGGTTAGGAAGTTAACAGCATTGATTGGTTGCCTCATACGCTTCAGGTAGGACAATAAGGTTTTTCCTTGTGTATGCCATTTAATTCTCAGATGATCCTGATTTGTAGTTATTATTACCTTCCCCTTTCTGATGGGAAATTAAGACTTAAATAACATAATAACTTAAATAACTTGCATAAGAGAGAGGGAGAGAGGATAAGAGCAGGCAGCTTGCTCTTGATGTGGTAAGGCTATGAATGTGTGTGAGGAAAATGTTTAAAACTACATTCTTGACTTTTCCCTCTATTGGGCAATAACTGCACCACTGCAGCTCTCTAGTAGGAATCAGTGGCAGTGGCCCTTGTGTGGGTGTAAGAGTCTGCTTGGTGGTATACCTCGGGGCAGGGTCTCAGGGTTGCTGACATGAGGGGTGGATGAAGGCAGGTGACTCTTGACCATCATTAAGCTTTCCCTTTTATATCCTTCCACCCACCAAGCACCTAGCATTCATCACTTCTCTAGGAGAAGTTGTCTGATACAGGAACTGGTGTACCTAAGGGAACATGAGCTTATAAGTGAAAATTATTAGCTGCCCGAGGAGTACAACTTCAAAAGGAAGATCAACTATTGTGGCTACTGTTAGTTTTCTAGAGAATTATTCTCCCTTTCATGCAGAGTTTGGCTGCATTTCCATTTTTCTACATTTCTGTTTCAGCTGGCTGTGGCTGTGTCACTAAGCGATCATCAATGGAATGTAAGCAGAAACGGTGTCTGCTCTTCCTGTCCTTGAGTTCTGAGGTAGTGAGTGTGCCTCCTCCACGATTTCTTTCCCTTACCCACTGGCTGGACCCAGAGTTGATTGCAATCCATCCTCAACCATGCAGATAATTTCTATGATCTGGGCATGGCAACTGGACAGGAGGGACCTTGTATACAAAATTATCACATAAGTCAGAGCAGCTCCCTGACCATTGCTTTCCCCAGCCTGTCACGTGAGACAGGCTGCATTTTGGGGTCTTTCTGTAATAATATTTAACATTTTCTAATTAATGTAAAAAAATGGACAACATAGGTACACATGATCTAAATCAGATTATTGAAGCAGAATTAACAACAATTAGGAAAAAGCATAAAAAATGTACTTGAGGAGGTTAGGGAAGAGTAACAAAATGAAACGAGAAGAAACTATAACAAAAGTGGAAATGTTAGATCCAACTGACTTGCTTTTCCATCTTCTGGCTTTCTTTAAGCCAAAAGCTAAGTCATAACTGCTATTCATGTACCTTTTTTTTTCTGCTTTCCAAAATTGTTGGCATCTCGTCTGCTGCTATTTCCTCTCCTGTTTGTCCTTTTAGGTTTATGCCTTCCATATTCATTCTCTATAATTTTAGGAGAAAACATGGATAGAGGAAATGTGTTCTTATTCCACATTTAAAGGGAAGGCTTGGGTTCTTCTGATAGATCTTGTTTTTTGGATTGTGTATACTTCCTACATGTTAACATTTACCATAGTCAAATTTGCTTTTAAAAGTGGGAAATTTATAAATATCTGTTCAAAATTAAGGGAAAGCTAAGTAAGTTACAGTGTCCACATATTGGAATACTGTGTAGTCATTAGACATGCTGCTAATAAACAGTTTTTAATGATGAGGAGATACTTCTGTTACAATGTTAATTTTAGAATTCAAACAGAATTAGACATATATTATATATCTTAGGTATGTGTACTATAAAACTTGTTCAGAAGAAGATCAGGAAGAAAATATGACAAAATGTTTTGCTATCTTTAGGGATCAAGGTTACCTTTTTACATATTTCTTAATCTCATCAAATGTTTATTACTTTACTAAATAAAGAAATAAAAATTAATTGTTTTCCATTGAATTTATTCGTATCTTTCCCCATATTTTATCAATGCAGTATAATTATACATGATGGGGGAATTCATTATTGCTTATTTGTGAAAGCACAGGGTATAACAATAAAATTCAGGCAATGTCCTTCCCTAGTATTTCCCCTTTTCCATCTCCCCTCTCATGCCTCTTGGTCCCTTTCCTTTCCTCTACTGATCTCTCTTTGATTTTCATGATGTCCTCCACACCTTTCTTTTCCTTCTTAGTATAGCTTTTTACCAGATTATCTTTAATGATTTAAGCATTTGTGGCTAAATCATATGTTTTTCTTTGACCTGTACAGTATCTGTTGGTCTATGACACATAGAGTTGGCAAACTATAGCCTGCAGGCCCAGTGTGGCTTACATCTGTTTTTGTAAATAAAGTTTTGTTGGAACACAGCCATGCTCATTCATTTATGTGTTGTCCATGGCTGCTTCCACACTACAATAGCACAGCTGAGTAGTTGTGACAGAGACCATCTGGCTTGCAAGGCCTGGAATATTTACTATCTGCCCCTTTTCAGAAAAACTTCACTGACTGCTAGTGTAGAGGAAGAATTGCTTTGTCATATCTTACACATAATGTACAAGTGCCTCTATTCCAAAGTATCTTGCTAGATGTCTTCTAAGATAAACTGATTTGTATCTCATTATACTATAATGGTTTATTTTTAATTTCTGCTAATTTGAAAACATTTCCATTTAAATCACTTAAGCAAATATTTAGAGAGGCCTTACAGTGAATCTAGACATTAAGCTGGTCTTGATGGTGGGTGGGGACATAGTATAATAAAACATAAATGAATATTTCCCAGCCATAAAATTTTCATAGTCTAATTCTGGGAGTATTAATGTTATCATTTTAGCTTCCCAAAGAATTGACTCCTAAGTGATTTGTTTTCTTTCAGTAATGGGAAGAGTGGTTTTAAATACTGGACATGAACTACTGGGCTGATGGAAATTTTGCCTGTGCATAGAAGCATCCCATTTTCTCCAAATAACTCTCCTAATAACCTTGTAAGCATTTCTACTTTCAAACTGAAAATTCCCATCAATAGATAAATTGTCTGGAGCATTGATCTTGGACTTCCTAGTTGAGAAAATATCAATTATTGTCTTTTTACTTTTTCATTAAGAAATCTTTGTAATATTTATGCCAATATAATATCTTTATTATTAAATAAAATTATCATGAGTAAAGGGTAATTCATGGTGATTATTTTAAATTCCATGATAATGTATCAAACTTTGTCCACCTTTGTGATTTTAATAAAGGACAAATAAAATTGAACTCAACAAATTCAAGTTAGTAGACATCTTAAAATATCTATGACATGAATTGCATATGGATATGCCATGTTCAGAGATGCAACTGTAGAGTTGATATGAGACCTTCTAATATCTTGTTTATTTCCTGTAGGGAAAGTTCAAGTCATCAGTTTTCAGAATAAGCATAGAATTGTGTTTTTTCAAAAAGCCATCCCAACTTATCTTTTAGCAGGATTGTAAACACAATCACTACTTTAGTGAAATGGTTTGTTTTACTCTGATTTAAAAGGCAGAGGCTTGTTTTATATCTACCATGAACAGTCTAATATAGAACTCCTATGGTTGTGTCTCAGCTGAGATTCCTTAACTTACCTTGGATGGACTATGTTGGCTGTTCTCACACTGTAGCTTGCCTTGAGTAGTTCTGGAAGAGCCCAACCCTCAACTCATACCTAAAGTGTAGTTGTGAAATTACACAGTAAGCTTTCCCAATTAAATAGCAAAAACTTTTAGAACCCCCAAAGATTGTAGAAATTAGCTTCCAAAAATCACTCCTACTAGTGGTATTCTGATAGGGAATCACACAGATTGGGTGATTCAAGTTTATAAGCACTTGATAACTTCCGTATGTCAGATGTTTTCATGTGCCATTATTTCATTATTTTATTTTTTGTATTCAATGATAGAAAACTTATAGCTTCATAAGTAACCTATTTCATTCTCTGGCAGCTGTAATTATTAAAATGATTTGTTCTCTATGTCATATAATAATAAATGCCTTCTGAAAATCTCCATTACTGATCCTCATTTCAGTAAACTGAATTCATCTGCTAGGTGGCAGATATGCATACAGTAGAAAATGAAAACCATGTCCGCTTTGAATGTGGAACAAACCCAAACTCTGGGGTGCCACAGAACAATTTAAAACAGAGTATGGAATGCATGCATTTTTAAAAATATATTAAAGGAATGTCTTTTTATTTATTTAGCAAAAGCCTTGAAGATTTTAAGTGAAAAGACATCTGTGATATTTTGAACACAATGCCATTATCAAATGCTCAGCCATTTTAAGGATCTGTAAGCAGGCTAAGTAGCACATAAACCAGGTATGACCTCATTTATATCAAATTCTACTTTACTACTTTCTCTTAGTATTATGTCTCTATGAAATCTAAGATAGGTCTTAATGTGTCACTGACCCAAATGTGCTTCTCTTTTTTTTTTCTTTTTCTTTTAGTGTGTTAGAAATCAGTGAGATCAAGTTTTTCCATCTTTACAGATACAAAGAATGACGGATTCTGATGACACTTAACTCCAGGGAAGGAAGGAAGGATATTAAGTAAGGCAGGTAATTCTGCTTATCCTTCTAGTCAATGAACATCAGTGTGAGTTTTCTGTTCCCTTGTGGGCCAAAGTATGCCCTCAACTCTCCTGGTGTGACCATCTACTTCTCCTGATTGTAACTCTAGTATATAAATAGACATATTTTTCAAACAATTTGACTCCTAAACATAAGCCATATCCCATCATCTGGTATTTAAATGAGGAAATGATCGCTGGAGCTTTTGCAAGAAGAAAAGAGTACCTGTGTTGGATTCACTGAACAAGGTCACTGAATTCTACTTTGTGGGTTAATTTGTAGGATTTTGGAGGGGGGATAGTTGTGACTTTTATTATCTTTTTACTTTGACTTTAAAACTTTTTAATAATCAGATAAGATTTAACCTAAAGGGTAAAATGTTCTCATCATTTAATTAAATAGTGGGGAAGTATTCCCTAAAACTTTTTTTTTTTTTTGGAAGAAAATGATAAGAATGTAGAGATTCTAGGAAAGGACATGACAATCACTGCATGGATTGTTGAGTAATTTTATCTAGATCAATAAGATTAAACACATGTAATAGAAACCCATTTAAATGAAAGGTAGAGGTATTGACTTTAAGTTTGTCATGTTTATATGACTATCTAGAAAACTCAACAAAGGTATAGAAATATATGAATGGTTGGAAATCTCAGTGTGTTCCTCAGAAAGCGGCTCCTCCTGGACTTGTGCTGGCAGATAGAATCTTCAAGAAGCAATATGCCAAAGTGGTTGCTCCTGGGAACTTGGAAGATAATAAAAGCAAACCTCTTTAATCCTTTAATGTCATTTTCTTTTGCGATTTGTATGTTTCTTAGAAACTCTGAGTGCTCTCTGAGTGGGAAATGGAGAAATGTGGTAGTCACTCTAGTTGTCATTTACAGTTCTTTGCTTATAGGAATTTGAGACATGTGAGTGACAAGGTGAATATGTAAGAGAAGAGAAATGTGGAATGATGAGAACTGGATTGAGTGAATATTACTGTTCAACTTCGGGTGTGCTAACCTAGTGATTTTAAATAAAAACACCTTGGTTCCTTTAGTCTTCTATTTAAACAATAGGTACCAGATTTTAAAGCAAAATGTTTTTAAAAAATATGTATATTAATGTAATAGAAGGCTGCAGACATTTTTATGTATTTTCATTTTATATAGTAATACTTAAATAGTGTTTACTACATGCCAGATATTGATCTAAGCACTTTATGGATACTAATTCATTTAATTTTCATAACAATCTGATGGAGCAGGTACTAACATTATGTATATTTTATAAATGAGGAATAGGTACAAAAGGTTAAGTAACTTGGTTAATCAGTGGCAAAACCAAGCTTAATCTCTTCTAATTAATCTGATTTTTAAATGCATACACTGATGAAAATATAGTTGGGAATTATTGTTAGAGAACAAAAACAAAATGTAAGCTAAAATTCTCACTACAATAAACAACTAAAAAAACGACCAACATCCATTTAAATGCATGGCTGAGCTTGCAGGAAAGTAAGTAAAAAATGAACCTGCATGAGCTCAGTTGCAGCACCTGGGCTGAGGGTGGGTGATAGATTGGGTAGTAGAGGTCACAAGTCTCAGTAACCTAAGGATTTCATTTCTGTTGCTCAATGAAGATAGCAGATTAGGATCTGGGTATAAAGAGGTACATTGAAACTGAAACCTCCACACAATGTTAAGATTCTCAATACGTTTCAACTTCAGTGAACATAGGACTAGAAAAAAATACCAGCCATTTTCTTTTGCCCTGATTTCTGACCAGAACAGAAGAGTTCTTAGCATGTATAATCACGAACTCTGATTCATGCAAGGATGAAGGTTAACCTCTAGCTGAGAAATTAACAAATAATTAGTGACACTCTTGCTAGTGACACTCAAAAGAAAAAGAAACTTCTTTTGAGAGACATGTCATGTTCTGGACTTCAATTCTCAAAAATCTTTATGAAGATGAGCTCAGAGTCTAAATAAAAGTAACAGCAGTAGAAAATAATTGAACAAGAGTGAGAAACAATGAAACAACAAACTGTGGGTAATAGCCTAAGATTTTTACATAATGGAATGTCTAGACATTAGAAAATAAGTATGCTAAAAATAATAAAAGGAGGAATAAAAGATGAGGCCCCCCCAAAGTCACAATAAAACCCCAAACATATCTGAAAGATAATCTAGTAGATTTTTCTGGAAGAAAAAATATGAAGCCATTGAAATTAAAACCTTGATAGAAGACTTAAGTAATAGATCATACACAGCTAAGATGACTAATGGACAATATGCAGATCTGAGGAAATTATCCATAAAGTAGCAGAGAATAAAAGAGGAAAAAATGAGAAGATTCAACCTTTGCCTAGAAAGACTGACAGAAGGAAAACTAATGGGGTGGGGGATTTTCCAGGATCACAATGAGTCCCAAAAGTTGTAAACAAAAATGATCTCATATCTAGATATATCACAACAAAACTGTAGAACACCAAGGACCAATTTTAAAAGCAACGACAGAAACTAGAAAGATTATCTATCAAACAATTCTGACTTAACAGTAGACTTCTCAAAAACAAGACCCAGAGGATAATGGAAAATCTCCAAAGTGGTAAAAGAAATTAGCCATCAATCTGGAAATATGAATTTAGCTAAACTATTACTTAGGAGTTAGGGAAAAAAGTTTTTGAACAAGTAAACAAACAAAAAGGAAGGAAATCTAACCTCAGAAAATATCTTATATGTAAGCCAATGAATGTGTGAGCAAATAAATTTGTTAATTTTTCTCTAAATATGAAAAGATAGTGACTATAAGTAAATATCATAAATATTAAATAATTTAAGGAAATTAGTTAAAGTGGAAATTAAATACTTATATAAAAAACATAAAGGCAGGAAGGAGCAGTGTGGCATTCCCCTGCCGTGCTACCTCGTTTGCCTTTCAAGTATCCTTTCCAGTTATGTATCTGCTTAAGTCTTTACCCCATTTAAAAATGTGTTCTGGTGTTCAGAGGTCTTCATACAGTCTGGGTACAAGACCTTTTGCAGATATGTGATTTCAAATCTTTTTCAACAGTCTGTAGCTTGTCTTTTCTTTCTTGTTTTTGAAGAGCAAAAGTTTTAAATTTTGATGAAGTCCATTTATCATTTTTTTTTCTTTTATGAATTGAGCTTTTGGTATCATAGCTAAGAACATTTTTTTTCTAATGTCAGATCACGAAAAATTTCCCATGTTTTTTTTTCTGAAAGTTTCATAATTTCAAATTTGATATTGAGATCTGTGATCTGTCTTGAGTTAGTTTTGTATAAGGTGTGTCATTTAGGTTGAGATTGATCTTTTTGGCATTTGATTATCCAATTATTCCAACACCACTTGTTGACAAGACTGCTCTTTTTTCATTGAATTATCTTGACATGTTTTATCAAAACTCAATTGGAAAAACATGGGTGGGCCTACTTCTGTGTTCTCTATTCTTAGTTTCATTGATCTATATAACTATCCCATCACCAATACTATCCTGTCTTAATTATTGTAGTTTTATGGTGTTAAGGTTTGATTGCTTTGACTTTCTTCTTTTTTTCAAAATTGTTTTGGCAATTCTCATTCTTTTGCTTTTTCATGTAAATTTTGATACATTTGACTATATATACAAATATTTCTGCTGAGATTTTTGAATGGAGCTGTGTTATACATATAGCTCAATTTGGGAAAAATTAACATATTTGTATTTTCTTCCAGTCCATGAACACAGTCTGCCTTTCAATTTGTAATAGATTTCTTTGATCAGTGCCTAGCAGTCAGTAATATGTCTTCCTTGATCTGTAAATCATATGTTGAAATCCTAAATCCTAGTACCTTGGTATGTGACATTATTTGGAGGTAGTGTTTGAATAGAGGTAATTAAGTTAAAATGAAGTAACTAAGATGGATTCTACTCCAATATAGTTGGTGCCCTCATAAAAAGGGGAAATTTGGAGATAGACAAGTATATGTGACAGAATGTCATGTGAAGATGAAAGTAGAGTTTGGGAAGATGCAGAAGCCAAGGAACATTCATGATTGCCAGAAAACTATGAGAAGCTAGAGAGAAGCATGGGAAAGATTCTCCCTACAGTTTGTAGAAGGAACCAACCCATCACCTTCATCTTGAACTTCAAACCTCCAGAATTATAAGGCAGTACATTTCTATTGTTTGAATCACTCAGCTTATGATATTTTATTACAGTGCTCTAGAAAACTTATATAAACACCAAATTTCATTAAATTTATGTCTAAGAATTTCGTTTTTTGAACTATTTATTTATAAAGTACTAATACCTCCCAGGTAAATGCTGAGTATTTCACTTGCATGGTATTAAGGTCAGAATTTCTCAAATTTCTCAGTATTTGTGATATTTTAAAATATTATAAGTATTATAATTAAAAGGACATTAGAAATTTCAACCTATGCCTACTAAGACCTTCAGAATAAAAAATAAAGATAATGGGATGGGGGATTTTCTGGGGACTTACCACGACTTATTTTTTCACTTTTAGTATCTTTTAAATTTACCCAATTAACTATGCTTGCATATTATTAGGCAACTTAATTGTGAAGAAGTACTTTAAATTGAATTGTATATTGTAATCCATATTTTATACACTGTGTATTTCTTCCTTTTTTTTGTAGTGCAAAGAATCAAAATCAGAGTCTTGTATATGCTAAGCAAATGCCCTATTACTGAACTATACCCTCAGTCCTAAACTCTGTATATTTATTTATTTTTAACTATTCTTTTTTATTTTGGGTGCATTATAGTTATACATAATAGTGGGGTTCATTTTGACACATTCATAAATGCCTATGACATAATTTTCTCCATTTTAATCTGTATATTTCTTTTTTAAAATTTATATATGACAGTGGAATGCATTACAATTCTTATTACACAACTAGAGCACATTTTTTCATGTCTCTGGTTATATACAAAGTATATTCACACAATTTATGTCTTTATACATGTACTTTGGATAATAATGTCCATCACATTTCACCATTATTTCTAACCCCATACTCTCTCCCTTCCCCTCCCACCCCTCTGCCCTATCTAGAGTTCCTCTATTCCTCCCATGCTCCCCCTCCCTACTCTACTATGAATCAGCCTCCTTATATCAGAGAAAACATTTAGCATTAATTTTTTTGGGATTGGCTAACTTCACTTAGCATCATCTTCTCTAACTCCCTCCATTTACCTGCAAATGCCATGATTTTATTCTCTTTTATTGCTGAGTATTATTCAATTGTGTATATATGCCACATTTATTTTTATCCATTCATCTATTGAAGGGCATCTAGTTTGGTTCCACAGTTTAGCTATTGAGAATTGTGCTGCTATAAAAATTGATGTGGCTGTGTCCCTGTAGTATGCTCTTTTTAAGTCCTTTAGGTATAGACCCAGGAGAGGAATAGCTGGGTCAAATGATGGTTGCATTCCCAATTTTCCAAGAAATCTCCATACTGCTTTCCATATTGACTGCACCAATTTACAGCCCCAGCAGTGTATGAGTGTACCTTTCCCCCAATCCTCGACAACACTTATTGTTGTCAGTATTCAAAATAGCTGCCATTCTGACTGGAGTGAGATGAAACCTTAGAGTAGTTTTGATTTGCATTTCTCTAATTGCTAGAGATAATGAACATTTTCATATATTTGATAATTGATTGTATATCATCTTCTGGGAAGTGTCTGTTCAGGTCCTTGGCCCATTTATTGATTGGATTACTTGTTTTTTTGGTGGTTAGCTTTTTGAGTTCTTTATATGCCCTCGAAATTAGTGCTCTATCTGATATGTGAGGGGTAAAGATTTGCTCCCAAGATGTAGGATCTGTATTCACCTCACAATTAATCTGTATATTTCTTTAGGATTAAAATGAACCCTCATTGACTTTCTCCAGATAGGCCATCATTCACCAGAAAAAATAGAACACATTT